TACAGTTGGTGTGGGCCAAAGGAATCTTCAGAGGGCTGTGGGTATAAATCTCCCTTTTTGTAGTCAAAGAAGAAAGCAGAGCACACAGGAACACAGAAACAACAATGGGAATCCATTGTATGGCTGGTAAAGGCTTACTATGTGAATAAAGGGAACCCAGACATTTCCATAGGAACCACTTCTTGTCCCCATCTCAACCCTAGAGTCTGAAAAGCTAGAGTCAGATTGCCAAAGGGAGGGGAGTGCTTGGGTGAAGTGAGTGTGGTAAAGTGCAGTATGGTTCATTTGGAGGTACATGTGTTCTCGGGGCTTTTCCAGTACTGCTTGATCAATCAGTTGCCCCAGGATACTGATTTTTCAGTTGGAAAAAAGAGTCAAAAGAGAAACCTTTAAGGTTCACTGGGGTGTGGCTCCAGCCAGAACCTTGAAATTGTTCTAACCCTTTGTCTGTCTCCACACATTCAAAGGCAAACTGGGATTACAGACACTGCATACTCATGCCAAATGCACTCTGAGCCTGGAAAGGATAGTGAGAAATGACTTTGGCAGAACCCAATATGTCTGACACACAGGACAGGTGATTAGGAGCCACCTACGCCATGAATCCTGTCACCCAAGTATTATAAAATGGTGGTTTGCACTAACTGCATTAGCCTACAGATGCCCATTATTGTCCTCCAGAAAGAAAGAGAAAGATGTACTTCAAAAAGATGTGGGGTACATGCAAAGGAGCTTATATTACCTTCCTGACAATCTTGGTGGAACCTCCATATTAGTGTTGAGATCAAGTTCCAGTCCTATTCCCCTGGTGCTGAAGGTACAACACCCAAGAAACACTGAGGTAAGCACAAAAAGTTTTATTTAAAGGATGAAACACACGCACGCACGCATGCACGCACGCACACAGAGAGAGAGAGAGAGAGAGAGAGAGAGAGAGAAACTCCTCCACAGAGGGGGTCCAAGGGAGTGAGAGTGTGGAGCCTCTTCCATAGATTTCAGATTTCCTTTGTTCTCATGCCCCTCCTCCCCTTATCTTGCCTGTGTAGCCAAAATGTGGGAAGGAACCTTCCAGGGGTATAAGCAGGAAGGAAGCATCCCAAGGGGCATTTATTAAAAACTCCTTGCAAGGTGGAAAAAATCCCCAGAATTTTACCAGAGGCAGGTAACCTTAGCAACAGGTTGGGCAAGGGGAGTACTCTGTATTAGCATTTTACCTCCTTTTGAATTGGCCCCATCTTCCTGACCCAATCATTCATTCCTACACTGAGTGTCCTTTTGCACCCTGGCCTCAAGGATATATGATACCCACTTCAATCATTTTTTTCAGACTCCCACTGCTCCTCATTTACTGATGGCCCTAATAAAGATGTAGACACTAGGGCTCTTTGTGGTAAGATAGATGTTTTCTAGGTTAAGGGGTTTTTCTAAGCCAAACTGCCAAGCTGCTGACAGTTATTTTAGTGTGCTTCTTAACTAGACTGTCAGCATTTCTCTTCTCCATTGGGTATGGGCAGGGGTGTCCATTGGGTGGTCTGTGTGCTGCTCTTCAGACTATTGCTCCTATCATGTCTTAAGTAACTATCTCCTGTCTTTTCTAGGATATTAACTTCCTTTGTGCTTGACTTCTTATAGATCATACAATTATTAAACTAAAATATATTAGCTGCAATTACAATAGTCAAATAATGGTAAAGACAGAAAAACTATTTACCAAGCGGTACTTTCCCTAATTAGGCAGGTATACACACTGAGGGCAAAACATTTAAATTATTATGAGCATGTGAAAGGAAAGAATGTTATCTCAGTACAATGAATTGCTTGATCAAATGTGCATTCAAAACAACTCTGTGACCAAATGATATACATAAGTAGACTGAAAATTGCAGCATATTATAAGTATTATACCTTTGAGAATAATTCCTTTCAACATGAATCATCCTAGTCTGAAGTAACTGCTCTATTTACTTAGAATTACCCCATCTCTGCTTATGACAACTCTACTGTCCACAGTCTCATCATGTATTGAGTTACAAATATTAGAACCAGGAAGAAGGTAAGACGTATTAACAGAGGCTTTGGATGCAATAACATTCTTCAGTTGCATGTGACTTAAAAATGTCTGCCTTAATCTAAGTTTTCCTGGTTAGCAGTTCCTATACCCAACATCTCACATTAGCTTACGAGAAAAATACACATGGATTAGAAAAATACACTCACAATTTGTCTGGGACTGAAGGGATTCACAGAATGCAAAAGTTTTAGTGCTAAAACTAAACAGTTACAGACAAGGAGAGATCATCAATCACTGGGGTGTTCCTGAGGTAGGCTATAATTGGAAAGATATTTGGATTATCTATAKAATTCAAGGGCAAAAAATAAGAACTAGTTTCTTAAATTATGACAAGAAACTAGAAACCTTTTAGAGTCAACTGCCTATTTTTTCTTTCTCTAACTTTGAATTATCTAGTTCTCTCCAAATTTACATTTATTTTCTTTCTCTTCCTGTGTCTTGCTATCTTCCTCTGATCCCTTACATACACATTAACTCACTATTTTATCTTTAATTAAAGGTGGAATTGAAGAGTTCACATCTTTATAACATATAATCTCCAAAGTTCTCAAACAAAAATTCAAAGTTGTCAATGTGTCCAAATATGTTCTAATTTTAATGAAATGTTCAATTTACTTATTACAGTGTTATGTACATACAGTCAAATATGATTCTGTAAGCCTTATGAGAACAAACGAAAATTAACCTTGTATCTATCTCTCATCACTCCAAAAAAACCACCTCAAATTTTTAAGCTGTTTCCTTGCATGTACATGCTGAAGTACAAATTAAATGATTATACTACCATTTTTTATAAAATTCACTTTTAAATATTATACGTGGATTTCAGTTATGGAACATAAGGATTTAGGAGTCTTAAACCTTGCTTTCTACCTCATTCCCCATGCAAATATCCTCCTCCCTCCATTCATTCAATGTAGCTATGCTCTGTGGTTGCATTAATATGTCAGATATTTTATGGTGATTATGTAACTATTATTCAGTGATGAGCTTTGTGAAATCCTATGATTATATCTTTTTTCTTCTATAATAGTTTTCTCTGGGGCTGGGGGCTAGGGTTGTGGCTCAATGGTAGAGCTCTTGCCTTGCACACGTGAGGCACTGGGTTCGATCCTCAGCACCACATAAAATAAATAAATTAGTAAAACAAAGGTATTATGTCCATGCTCAACTAAAAAAAGGTTTCCTCTCCTGATGTTAATAGTTATTTTTATGGTTTGGATGTAAGGTATCCCCCCAAAAGCTCCTGTTAATTCAAGAATACTCAGAGGCAACATGATTAGATTATGAGAACTGTAACCTCAGTCCATTCTAGTCTGAATGGATTGCCTATAGGCAGATGGGACATGGCTAAAGGAAAGATTATCCTGTGGTCCCTTTCTCCTTTTCTCCTTTCTCACCTGTCACAGCTGAGCAGTTTTCCTATACTGTGCCCTTCCTCTATGATATGCTGCCTCATTTTGGTCCCCAGTTGGCCTTCTATGCACTCACATCCATGAAAACATGAATCCTAAATAAACTTTCCCTCTTCTAAGTTGTTCTTGTTGTGTATTTTGGTCAGAGTGACACAAAAATGACTAAAACAAACGAGATGGGTCCTTTGGTTTTCTATCCCCTTTTACTCCTTCCAAACTTATGGCTATAATTTGGTTCCTCTGTTGCCATGGTACCCAAGAGTCTCAGAACACAGACTTCTGACAGTTGGAGTTTTCAGCCACTGGGACAAAGGATCTGAAAGACTTCAGATGCCCCCTTTATCCTGCAGGAGCTGGCAGCATTTCTTTTATGTGGGCAGCTATCAGAGTTCGGCATAACAGAGTATGCAGAGTGTGTGTATCCATATGCATGTGTGTGTTAGACAGAGAGAGAGATTGGGTGCATGTGTTTTCCCCACTTATTTGTTATTTGCCAGGACATAATGGAAAAAGCTGGACTAAAGATGCCATCAAATGATGGGAAGGTAGGCATTTAAGGAGCTATGCTTCTTCCAGAAAGAAATTTAGTATCTTTTTTTAATATTTATATATTTTTTAGTTGTAGCTAGCCACAATACCTTATTTTATTTATTTTTATGTTGTGCTGAGAATGGAACCCAGGGCATAGCATGTGCTAGGTGAGCACTCTTCCACTGAGCCACAACCCCTAGTATCAATTTTTATGAGACCTTAATGTATTTGTAATTTTTGGTCAAATGATCTAAACTATACAACTGTGAATAACAAGACAGCCAGAGACTGGTTCACAAAGGGAATTTACTGTCATTAATAAGATCATGTTCACAGTTTTGATAATCTCAGGGTCATTAATTATCTAAACTAAGGTTCAATAATAGGTGATAACCAAAGAGTCATTAACAAGAAAGTGGTTAATAATTACAGAATAGCCTTATATGTGTTTCTTGAAGGMTGTGCTATAAAATTTAATATCACTTTCTGTAGATGTGACTCCACATATATATGAATGTAAGCATATGAACAATACATATTCATACATATGTGTATATGTAAAGAAAAAATATTAAAAGGAAATTCACCAAAATTTTTAATGATGGTTATTTTTTCTAGATGGTAGCATTATAAAAAAATATTCTCAACTTTATACTTTCATATATTTTTGTAAATTTTATTCAACTATATTTTTGTAATACCAGTTCTTTCAACTGTCATAAGACAAAGTATAAGAGATATCAGGTGCAGATGCTCAGTATAGAGGTTTATTATATAATAAATTAAGTTTAGAAAGAGAAAGTACTGCCTCTTCTGCCTTTGACTACAGAGTGCAAACGCAGGATGTGCTTTTAACAAAATGAAATATTAGAAATGGAAATTATTGCCAAAGTACATGACTCTATTTCCAATATCTTATATCAGGTTTTTCTTTTGAAGTTTCCTAAGTTGAGGGAGAACTGGTATTTGAGAACTTTGACACCATGGAAGACTCATTCTCCAGCAGCAGCAACTGCACTGACAAAGAAGACTGCATTTCCAAATTTCAGTCCAACCTGAGCCTCTCTATAGGCTACTTCCCCTGTGAGAACAGCATTGCCTGGAAGTACACTAACAACTCTGAAGAGAAGACTTCTGAGGGTTCTTCCTGCCACTTCCTCCTTCCTGTCAAAGAGTCATGGGCGACTGAAAGTGGAAGGATGCCCATGAGGAAACATAAACAAATTCAGGATGACCCAGAGAAGCTTTGTGAATTACCCATCACCCGGGTCTTGGATGCCTGTCTAGGCTCTTAAAATGAAGACTTACTAGCTACTTTGGATCTAACAGGAGACAACCAGAGAATGGATAAGTTCCCACAGGAAAGGACAAATCAGACTCTCTGGGAACTGGATGATCTAATGAAAAACCTTAAGGCATTTCTAAACCATCAGGAAGATGACAATGACTCTGTGTTCTCTGATTCTCCTCTGGATGAGGATCTTCAGCTGTCCAGCACCATCTCTCCCCACATGTATCAGGTCAACAATCAAAAACATGAAACTTGTCAGGCCTTGCCCAACTGTGAACCACCAGAAATTGAAGACATCAGCCAGTTTCTAGAAATGTCACCATGGCTAGAAGAAGATGAACTTGCTGAGGTGAGCAAAGAGGTGCCTCAGTACAGAGCAAGGGATAGGCCTAGTGGGGGTGCCAGGTTGGACAGCATGGATCCTAACTTCCTGCTGTGAAGCAGGGGTGGACCCTGGTGTCAGAGGAGATGATTATTGGGAGAAGGACCACAGAAAGGAAAGGATTTGGGGTTGGGGAGGGGTTATAAGGAAAATGCCAAGGAGCAATGACAGAGACAAGAGGGAAGAGCAAAGAGAAGGACTAATGATTAAAAAGACAAAAACCAACAAACAAAAAACAGTGTTTGTGTGTGTGTGTGTTTAAATGTTAATGAGTCTTAAAAATTTACATTTAGAGTTGATCTATTTATGGTAATAAAAAAAATTAGATTTCCATAAATGAGCAAAYATTGACTTCATTGCTGCTGACATTACACATATCTAATTCATCCTCGTTTTCTTGGCAGATGATAAGCCAGGTGACTGGCACAGCAGAGACCTCCTCAGTCTCAGCAAGGCAGCCAAAGGAGGGGGACACACATTCCCACTCAGAAACCACATCCTGTCTGAACATGGGGTTCATCTTCCACTGGTTCAGGAAGTGGTTCTTCTCCTCCCTACGAGGGAGAAAGCCAATAAAAGCCCCGATGAGCAGGAATATCAGAAAAGCCATTTTCTTGGAGGCAAGAGAATCCAACCTGAGGAATCTCTGGAGTCAGAACACCCTATGTATCCAGATTTTTAAACTTTTTGATAGGTCCAATTGTAGAGTCCCATGGTTTTAAAATTTCCCAATTTTAAAAAAAACACAAATGTTCTTGTCATCCACATCTTCCTCCTCTTCCACTGTAACACCTGGGCTCAGACAAAAATTATGTATGTTGTCTAGAAGGCAGAAATTCATTCTCAGAAAATTTTAGGTAGTTTTGCACTTCCTAAATAGAAGGTATTTTTTCTCTCCCCTTAAATCAGCTTACTGTATTTTATCCCATTTTATTATTTCCTCTTTTATCATTAGCTTATCTCCCTACTGCCAGAAGGCAGCAGGACAACTGTCAAGACTCCAGTAGGATGGTTTTGGTGGAACTTCTGGGCCTTAAGCAAGTGGCAACAGACAGTGACCAAGGATACATAAAGAGGTCAGCTGAGGCCAGCTCTCTTGAGTAGCAGCAAATGACCTTAGAGAGCCTCCAGGTTCTGGGTTCTTCTAGTTTTACAACTTAATTTTTTCATGAAATTAAATGAACAAACATGGGAAATCATGTAGCAGAGTGTGTAGCATTTAGTACAGGCTTGGTAACATTCAACTGTGCCTATACSAAAAGGCTTTATTTAAGCCCCCCTCCTGTCTATTTGGGAGTGAACACATAAATAGAGCCTAGGAAACTGCACATTTCTTTTCCCACCCCACCCCCAAAATATACACTACAAATATTGCATTAAAGAATTTGGTTTGGAAGGTCATTGGCACAATAATTCTTAAACAACAAAATAAACATTGGGAATAAGGAGACTTTGCTTTTTCTAAAAAGCATGACGTATAGTCCACTTACATATATTCTTTTTTCCTGCATTTTTTATCTTGGTGAAATATACAAAAATCAAACACATTCCCCATTTTTAAGGTCACAAATCAGAACTATTAAGGAAATCTATATTTACATTGGTTATGTCCCTATAGGTAAAGCACTACATTAAAATGAAACAGCCTTGCCAAGCATGGTGGTGCATGCCTGTAATCCCAGTGGCTCAAGAGGCTGAGAAAGGAAGATAGTGAGTTCAAAGCCAGCCTCAGAAATGGCAAGGAGTTTAGCAACTCAATGAGACCCTGTCTCTAAATAAAATACAAAATAGGGCTGGGGATGTGGTTCAGTGGTCAAGTGCCCCTGAGTTCAATCCTTGGTACTCCCCCCCCMAAAAAAAACATGTAATAGTCTTAAAACCTATATAAAGGAAATATCAAATTGAGAATAGTACTCATGGGGGAAGTGGGAAATGTGGGGACCGGCAAAGGGGCGAAATGGCAAAGGGAAGCTAAGTTTTATCTGCAATATTTTCCTTTTTAAAAAAATAATGAATCAAATATGGAAAAATGTTAAGACCTGACAAACTGAGTTTTAATACATAAGTGTTTGTTGTATCATTTTTCCATACTTTGACGTATTTTTCTTTTACCTTTTTATCTTGACCTCAGTTTGCACTTCCAGAGGAGTTGAAAGCATACTGACAGACATCCATATATCCCTAAGTACACTGCTCCAAAGCACAATGAGCAGACAAGGATGTGAACTTTGGTGCAATACCATTATCTAACACAAAGGCAGTACTGGAACTGCCCCAGTTCTTCCACTAAGGTCCTTTTCCTACTCTACAGTCTCATCAGAAACACAGGTGCACTTAATTTTACTTTCTCCTTACTCACCAGCAGTCTGGGATAGGTCCTCAGTCTTCCCTTACTTTTTGTGACCTGACAATTATCACTTATTTTTGTCAAATGTCCTACATTTGAAGTTGTCTGACATTATCCCATAATTGAAGTAAGATGATGCACATTGGCAAGAATGTCCAGAAGCTTTGTTCTTCCTTCATGCATCATATTACAGATTCAGGATATCTTTTTTATACTTTTAAAATATTTCACAATTTCAAAAGAGCAAGCCATGTTCTATGATCCATGCCTGTAATCACAACTAATTCGTGAGGTTAAAGGCAAGAGGATAACAACTTTAAGGCTAGCTTGGACAACTTATGAGAACTGTATCAAATGAAATGTTAAAAGGGCTAGGGATGCATCTCTGTGGTAAAGCACTTACTTAGCATGTACAAGGCCCTAGATTTGATCCACAGCACTGTAAAGGAAGATAGGCAGGGGGGTAGGGAAGGAAGTGAAAAATAAAGGAGGCAGTTAGATTAAAGTAAGTAATCTTGAATCTCTACAGAAATAAAATCAATAGGAGAATTTACACATAAAAATAAAGAGGTATTATGAAAAATCGGCTCATTCAGTTATGGAAGTTGAAAAGTCTTGAAACCAGTCAATGCCAACTGAAGACCCAAGAGAGCCAATGCTATGTTCCAGTTTGAGTCTGAAGGCTCAAGAAGCAGGAGAGCTGATGGACAAGTTCAAGTCCAAGTCCAAGAGTAGAAGCCTGATATCCCAGCTCCAAGACAGTTGGGAAGAGCAGTATTCTGTTATATTCAGACTTCCAATGAATATGGATGAGGCCCACCAACACTAAGGAAGGCAATTGCTTTATTGGGCTTCTGGGACAAATATTAATCATATAATCCTCTGGGAATATGAGCCAGTTACCTATCTGCTCATGTCATATGTTCTTCTGTTAAATGGGGCAAGCAGAAAGAAACTAACATGTGGAAAGTGGGCATGTGGAAATGAGCACAAGACCCTGCATATACTACAGGAGATAGGTGATCACTCATGGCAGCTGGAGCAGCCTGCGGGCACTTGCTAAGCAGATCTCTTAGATAATAGAAAGCAATTTTCCCCAACTCAAACTCTGATCATTCCTTGCATCATGCCACCAAAACTCTGGAATAGATTTACTTTATCTACAAAAATCTTATTGAACAGAAGCTAAAAATTAAAGCCAGATCAACTGGGAAAAATCTGAGAGTGTAACGTAAATCTTTAAGTATAGTGTTATAGAATTTAAATGCAAAAAAAAATATTTGGAGATTTTAAGAAACTGACAGATTGCAATGAACTGAGATTCTTGTAGGTGAGTTTATTATTTCATGACTTTGTTCTATGTGTGTGTGTATATGTGGGTGTGTGCATGCACATGTACATTTGCTAAGATATGTATAAACCCATGCCTTTTTTTTTGATAATATAAGAATTGTATTCTTTTAGAGCTACCTGAAATTTAAAATATAAACAAGTAGGAAAAAGCACCAAATTAAGGGCTAGGGTGTAGCTCAGTGGGGTAATGACTACATACCATGCTCAAAGCCCTGGGTTAAAACCAAGGCAACACACACACACACACACACACACACACACACACACATAGATAAATGAATGAATAAACAGATAAATTAATAAACTAAATTTTTAAAAGCTATTTAAACAATGTAAGTTTGGAATAATGCATTCTCAAACTACACTTAAGCCAAACTAGATCTGAAGTGATTCCCTGAACTTCAATCCTGAGAAAAGCTGATTGGACCTAGAAACAATATTCCATGCAATAGTATAAATTGGACCAGAGTTCTATAACTATATTTTGAAATATTTTTTTTAGTTGTGGATAGCCACAATGCCATTATTTTATTTATTTTTATATGATGCTCAGGATCAAACACAGTGCCTCACATGTGATAGGCAATAATTCTAACACCAAGGCAAAAGCCAACCCTATAAGTACATTTGCCAAAGAAAATGATTAGTTCCTTGGAAAAGATCATTGTTTTTGTTATATTTTTCCATTTTTTCTGGTTTATGCCTGGAAAAAATGAAAGTACAAATTTAATAAGATCTAATCTGTACTCTAAATTTAACATTTCAAACAGTTAACAGATTTACTAACTACATGAAGGAAGAACACGATGAATGTACTGGAGCAGGGAAGGCAACAGGCCACACCAGGGTACTGGAGACCTATGAGTCAGTCAATCTCAATATCATCCTGTGATGCAATCAGGAAGGGAAACTGGAGTGGTTAGGACCAACAGCCTATAATATAAGACAAAGGAACTGAACAGATTTCCAAAGAAGTATGCAAAGTCAAAACTGATTCCACAAGGACCTGGACACCACAAGGAACTGAAACCTCTGTCAAGAGGCAACATATAGGCACAAGGGAATAAGGACAACAAGGGAAGATACTAGGTAAACACAAATGGTCTAAAAAACATGGATGCAAACTCAAAATTACAAGAGAAGCCCACCCAGGAAACACACAGAAGGAGTAAAAGGTCTTGAACAGCACACCCCTCCAAACATTTCATAGCCAACACCACTTTGTTCCCTCTGAAATGAAGGAATGATATGCTTCATTTACTACAACACACTTTCCCACTTTTGCCATGGGTCCCATCCTCATATTCAACCCCCTCAACAGGCCACACTCACCATCCCATTTTGAACTTCTTCCCCC